TTGTTCTCATTTCTTTTCCATATTTATTATTTTATATCTCACTTATCAGGAGTGTTCTTTTTGTAAAATTTCCTTCCCAAATAGATTTTGTTGTCATTTTCTTTTTCTTTCTGTATTTTTATTTCATTTCTCTTTTATGTGTTTCTTTTCTTAATCATTCTCTTATTATTAAAGATCTTTTTCCCACTCTATTTTTTGTCATATTTTCTTTTCATAATCACTTATCCCCTTTTTTCTTCTTGTTACTTTTTTTTATGTGTTTTCTTATTTCTTCTTGCTATCTTAATTCCACCATCAATATATTTTTTCTCCTTTCTACATTATCGTATTTTTCTAAGTAAGCCCACTTATTAATTTCATCAATTTTGGGAGAAAAATTATGTGACAAAAAGATTAGGGAAAAAAATTGAAATAAAAATAAAACATTCGGGAAAATATTAGACAAAAAAATTACATTTTACCAAATTTTTTATTCTTATTATTTTTTCCCGATTGTTTTATTTTTCTCTAATCTTTTTATCACATAGAGTTTTTCCCACAATGGAATTAATGGGTTGATTTACTTAAAAAAATACGATAATGAAGAAATGAGAAAAAATATATTGATGGTGGAATTAAGATAATAAGAAGAAAGAAAAGAAGATAGAAGAAAAAACATTTAAAAAAGTAACAAGAAATGAAATATAACAAAAAGTAGAGTGGGAAAAAGATCTTTAATAAAAAGAGAATGACTAAGAAGAGAAACATAAAAAGGGAAATGAAATAAAAATACGAGAAGAAAAAGAAAATGAAAAAAATTTGCATTTGGGAAGGAAATTTTACAAAAAACTCTACTAATAGAGTGAGAAATAGAATAATAAATATGGAAAAGAAATGAGAATAAAAGGATGGAAAAATGAATTAAAAAAGTGTCCATGGATAAAATAAGGAAAGAAAATTTTAGGGAGAAAAAGGAAAAATTGAAACATGGGGCTTTTTTGAGCAGATTTGTGAAAGGTGGAATTATTTATGTAAGTTTTCCAAAAATGCAAAAAACCTGGTATAGTAGGTCACCAACCGGTCAGGGTCCAACGAAAGAAGATTGGGTGCAAAGGTGAGAGTATTCTGCAAATACGTAAAGGTGGGATTATTATGAGCAGATCGGCCAAAGATTGGATTATTCTTGTCAAATTTTCCTATTTTATTTAGTATAAATATTTAGACTTCTATCATACCCCATTTCTCTCTCTTCCCATTATCATCTCCATTTTCTCTGCTTCTTTCCTTTTTATTTTCCTTGTTCCAAATGAACCCTTAGGTTTGTGTTACGCTAAAACTTGCAGGTGATTCGGAGAAACTGATAAAAGTGTTATTTGAGCTTGCCAGGCACCATGCCCCATCAACCATATTCCTTGATGAAATTGATGCTATCATTAGTCAACGTGGTGAAGCACGAAGTGAGCATGAAGCAAGCAGACGCTTGAAGACTGAGCTGCTGATACAGGTTATGTTTCATTTATTTGAAAGTGCTTCCCATCATATGCCCCAGATGGAGCTACTCCTAAACTGGTTGATAAACTCTAGTAAATCTTGTAAGATTCGTTAATGCTAACCTGTTACCAATAGGTAGGATTACTATAGGTGGTCATTTAAGGGAGATACCCCATCTGCTCTAAAAAAGAAGTTGACTTTAATCATATTGCATTATACAACTTCTCAAAAGTAATGATGAGATTAGATTGCAGATGGATGGCTTGACGCGAAGTGATGAACTGGTTTTTGTTTTGGCGGCCACTAACCTTCCCTGGGAGCTAGATGCCGCTATGCTTCGGCGTCTTGAGAAGCGGGTATTTTTTTAAACAAATTATCTGTAATAGAGGGTGGCGCGTGTAAGGTTTTTGGGATGCCTGTGCACCAGACATCCCAAAACGTTTTACAATATGTGATTTTATGTCACTCACCCACACAATTTCTATATTGCTATGGTTTCGTTTTGAAATTTGAACACCTAAATGTGATAGAAAGAAAGTAGAGACGAAAATATGGAGGAAATATGGGGCAAAATAAACATATGCTCAAATTCAATTTTTTTTATATTTGTGCATAGCTATCCTATTTATTTATGTTATAAAAGGGTCAGGAAATTGAAAAAATGTAAAAGAAATCACTATCACTTGTCATATTTCATTTTCTTTTATTTATTGTAGAGAGGAAATCATAAAAAATTAACTTTCCTTGGCATTTCCTTTACTATCTATAATGTTTTCCGTGATCCAAACATACCCCAAAAGAAAACAAATCTGAAGTAGAGGGAAAGAGAATTGAGGGGTTATATTCTTATCTTTTTGAATTATTTTGTGTTTTGTCAAAGTGTATAATTGCCTTGAATAGTTGAATGTAGCATTAAAGTTTACCATCTTCTCTGATGCTCTAGATTCTTGTTCCCCTTCCGGAGCCTGAGGCAAGGAAAGCTATGTGTGAGGAATTACTGCCACCAGCATCTGATGGAGAGATTCTTCCATATGATTTATTAGTGGAAATGACAGAAGGTTATTCAGGCTCTGATATTCGTTTATTGTGCAAGGAAGCAGCTATGCAGCCATTAAGAAGGTTAATGCTATTACTTGAGGAGAAACAAGATGTGTTGCCGGACGATGGTATGCCTCACATTTCAGCGTGTGTTCATATTAACTGTGCCTTTCTTTGTATTGCCAAATCCATTTGTATGTGGAGCATCTCCAACACAACAAATGTACATTAGTACATACATGGCCGGAGAGATAGGCAAATAAAATTGTATAAACATATTTACTTCTTTCTATCCATAATTTTCAAAGTTCTTGGTAGTGTTCCCCAAGTCTAAGCACAATGTGTAATTGTATACATTATGCTACACAACCTGGAGAAACGTTACCAAAAATTTCGGTTTTTATTCCGGTTTTTGTTTTTAATGTTTGTGTTTTAACATCCCATTGTAAAATTTTGGTTAAACTGAACCATTGACATGATCTAGCACTTGAATTAATAATTGATACTAATGATAGAATTAATCTGAACCGCTGAATTGGTTTTTTACCAAAAATTGAAATTGGTCTCACCAAATCTCGCAAGGCACACCTAATGCTCCCTTATAATTTATTGGTCTCCAATAGGCTCAAAAAATTGTCTTATGAAACACTACTATGCATGAGCTCAGCGTGAATAAATGTTCAAACATAAGAGGAGACTTTGTACTGTTCAAGCTTGTTAAAGCTTGTACTGTGCATGAGCTCAGCTTGTTAAAGCTTGAACTGTTTGGTTTTGTTAAGCATAGCCGTTACATAATGCATGCACACGCATGTGCTGGGAACATATTTGTTACATTCAGTGGTTACAAGGCTCCGCTCATTTAATATTTATTACTCCGTATTATTAGTTAGTGGATTTCCTTTGTAACTATTATCCCATTGTTTAGTATTCGGTTAGCATTAGTCAGCTTACCAGATACATTCCTTGTATACATAAGTCTCCTTTTATGATTAGCTTAGCTTTTACGGCTAATATTTGTAAGTCTGCTTTGACTTCCTTATGTAAAGGACTTTGTTAATTGAAGATACTTGAGGTGAATTTGTATATATTCTAACTGGTTTGTTAGCACCTCCACTTGGGCTCACCTTTATGCTTTGTTCTGTGTCCTTTAATTTTGTTATAAGACTGTTTTCTTTTATAACCTGTCAAGTGCAGAATTGCCAAAGGTTGGACCAATTACTGAAAGAGATATTAAGGTAGCGTTGAGTAACACTCGACCTTCCGCGCATCTCCATGCCCATCGTTATAACAAGTTCAATGATGACTATGGTAGCCAAGTTGTCCAGTGAAGGTATTCGTAATTTCGTACAGCTCTCTGGGCTCTCTTGTTGGAACATTATACTGTATTTTATTCTATTCATATTTGTAGTATAATTGTACGTAGTAGTATAATTACTAAATACTTGACTGTATTCTATTATATACATATTTGTAGTACATTATTACTTCATTTGCTAGACTTGTAGAGAAGTTCTCTGACGAAATTTGGAGTATTATCGTCCTTGTTAACCTAGCATGTAAGCATGTTGTTACTAAGAAGTGAATGGTGATTAAAACTACAAAAATGATATACTGTTGTACATGCCGGGTTAGACGCCCGGTTACACGTCCAAGTGTAATTGTTTGTGTACGTACAATTGATTTTAATTTTTGTAAAGCGAAGTGTCCGTGACCCCCGAATTGTTTGTGCACAAACAATCCAAGTTTTGGGGTCACAGACCATTACATTTGAGCGTGTAACTAGACGTCTAACCTTGACGTGGACAAGTAACATTTTTGTTAAAAATATAATCAATTAACATGTGCTGCACTTCATTTCCTAAAAACTTAGGAAGGTTATAATGAACCGGGGGCGTAGCTCACCTGGTAGGGAGTGCCACAAGGGAGAGATCCTAGGTTTAACTCCAAGCAATGACTTGGGATGGAACCCCGCTCTCTTTCCATTATTGTGAGATCAAAGCTCAATTTACATCTTTAGCTCGAGTTTGCATGGGATGAACATTAGTTCCGACATTGGGCGAATGGGGTGGTGACGTGGTTGTTGGAGTTAACCTTGTTGTTTATAATTTCGTCATGTTTAATTTAGTTTATTTTGAGTCATTGATACATTTTAGACTAGAGTGTGAGTGCACGGCGGGATGAGTCATGCCAAGTTGTGTGCGTCGTGTGACACCGTGCATGTGTTGTAGCGGTACTAATATGCGTATGTGCCGTTGCATTAGTGTTAGTCTAATTTGGGTCATTTAGTTAGGTTGCACATTAAGTTATTTGCATTTAGTATTAAATTATGTTAGATAGTAGTGCTACATATTAGTTATGCATGCATGTATTAATAGTGCGTAGTGGGTGCAGTGCCGAGTGGGGCATTTGGATTGTAACCACCACCACTAAGTAAGTTGGTTTGTTTATATAAATGAAAAGTGAGTGTGTCAAAGTTATTGATGCTTTGACACCAAAGGAAAAGCTACTTACGTTTTTCTTCTTCTTCCCAATCAATTAACTACATTTGAAAGCTACGGATGTATTATTCTTGCTAAGCATTCCCAACATTTGGTATCAGAGCCATGGCCGGTGAAGGTTCGCGCACTCCGTCACGCTCGCCGGTACGACGTGGGCGGAGCCCGACGCGGCGAGGCGGCCGCGAGGTGGTGGTACAGCAGCGTGTCGTCCACCAGGCCAGCAGCACCGTTGTCTACCCGACGTTGACGGCGACGAACTATTTCGAGTGGGCACTCATCATGAAGGTGAACATGGAGGCCCAAGGCGTGTGGGACGCTGTCGAGGGTGGCGGGAGCTTTAGCGAGGATAGGGTGGCGCTAGCGGCAATTCTGCGAGCCGTGCCACCGGAGATGCTCTCCACGCTTTCCGTGAAGGCGACGGCAAAGGAGGCATGGGACGCCATCAAGACCATGCGTGTGGGCGATGAGCGTGTCCGTGAGGCCAAGGCACAAACTCTACTCAAGGAATTTGATTCCGTTCACATGCGGAGCGGTGAGATGATCGATGACCTCGCCATGCGCATGAACGGACTCGCCAACAAGATTCGCACCCTCGGTGAGACCTTCGAGGAGGTGAAGGTCGTGAAGAAACTTCTTCGGATCGTGCTGTCCAAGTACACCCAGGTAGCTATTGCAATTGAACAGCTTCTTGATCTTAAAACCTTGTCCATGGAGGAGCTTGTGGGAAGACTCATAACGGTGGAGGATAGGAGCGATGCGGACGACGGCGTCGACAACAATAACCATGGCGGTGGAGGTCAATTGCTACTCACAGAGGAGGAGTGGCGTTCTCGCTACCGCGGTGGCACCGGCAAGAAGAAGAGTACGTTTGACATCCGTAAGGTTCGATGCTACAACTGTCAAGAGTATGTGCATTTCTCTAAGGATTGCACATCACCAAGGAAGGAGCAGGCACATCTCGCCTTCGCGACCGCAGACTACGAGCCGGCGCTGCTGTGATGTTCCGCGAGGAGTTTCAAAATAAATGACAACAAGGTTAAGGGGGTGAATGTTGGAGTTAACCTTGTTGTTTATAATTTCGTCATGTTTAATTTAGTTTATTTTGAGTCATTGATACATTTTAGACTAGAGTGTGAGTGCACGGCGGGATGAGTCATGACAAGTTGTGTGCGTCACGTGACACCGTGCATGTGTTGTAGCGGTACTAATATGCGTATGTGCCGTTGCATTAGTGTTAGTCTAATTTGGGTCATTTAGTTAGGTTGCACATTAAGTTATTTGCATTTAGTATTAAATTATGTTAGATAGTAGTGCTACGTATTAGTTATGCATGCATGTATTAATAGTGCGTAGTGGGTGCAGTGCCGAGTGGGGCATTTGGATTGTAACCACCACCACTAAGTAAGTTGGTTTGTTTATATAAATGAAAAGTGAGTGTGTCAAAGTTATTGATGCTTTGACACCAAAGGAAAAGCTACTTACGTTTTTTTTTCTTCTTCTTCCCAATCAGTTAACTACATTTGAAAGCTACGGATGTATTATTCATGCTAAGCAATCCCAACAGTGGTATGTGATCTGTCGAATGATCAGATATGGATGAGACCGTGAGTGGACTGGAACTCGAGGAAGACGGGGAGGACACCGAGGGACTGGACACATTACTGGGCTGTTGGGACGACGTGTCGCTGGGAGTCATAGGAGGGCTGGGAGAACTATGCTGCTGGGAAGAGGAGAAAGTTGGGGTGGTGGGGGTTACGGGTTCGCTGCTGGTGCATGAGTTCGAATGTGGATGGGCTAAGGTGGCTGGTTGATGACCATGAGATGGTGATGACCGTGAGGTGAGGTGAGGGGCAACAGACATGGGCATGGTTGAAACACGAGGTATAATGGTCAAGGGTGAAGCAGGTGTAGTAGGAAAAGGCAAGTCAGGCAAGGTAGAACCAGAATAAGAGACGTGTGAGGAAGATGATTCCCTAAGATGATGAAAAGGATAGACATTCTCAAGAAAACGCACATGACGACTAATGTATACTCGTCTTGTACTCGGATCTTAACACCAATAGCCCTTATACCCCGATGCATAGCCTAGAAACACACATTGGACAGAACGTGGCGAGAGTTTATTGGAGGACGAGGCAGAAAAATTGGGATAACACGCAGTGCCAAAAACTCGCATAAAGGAATAATCAGGTGCCTTATGAAATAATTTTTGAAAAGGCGATAAACCATTTAAGATAGGAGAGGGTAATCTGTTAATGATGTATGCCGCAGTATAAAGAGCATCAACCCAGAAGTGACCCGGGACCGATGCTTCAAGAAGCATGGTACGTGTCAATTCAAGGAGATGACGGTGCTTCCGTTCAGCCACCCCATTCCGCTGAGGGGTGTCGGAACAGGATTTTTGAAAATAAATTCCTTGAGTAATAAAAAAAATTGCATATCATGATTAACAAATTCACCCCCCATCACTTTGAAAATTTTTAATTTTCTGATTAAAAAGATTTTCAACCAAAAGCTTAAAATTTTTAAAGTGTTGAAAAACCTCATTCTTACGGCACATAGGATAAATCCAAGTATAGCGAGAAAAATCGTAAATAAAAGACACATAATATTTAAATCCCAAGTTGGATAAAACAGGTGATTGCCACACATCAGAATGAATAATTTGTAATTGCATAGTACACATGTGACTAGCATCAGAAAAAGGCAAACGCTGAGATTTTCCAAGCCGACAAGCAACACAGTCATGACTAAAACTAGAATTATTACAGAGAAGTTTATTTGTTCTAAGAAAGTGTAAAACTTTGTCACCACAGTGACCTAATCTACGATGCCATACTAGACCAGGATCTGAAACAGACGCTAAAGCTAGGTGAGGAGATGACGGCATACGGAGAGGATAAAGAGTCCCACAACTAGAAGCTTGCAGAAGAACTGCTCCCGTTTGTTTGTCCTTAACAAAAAATGAATTTTTATCAAAAGTTACAACACAGTTATTATCAGCACATAATTTTTGAATAGAAATTAAATTGAATTTTAACTGATGCACATGATAAACAGACTTTAAAATTAAAGAACGGCCAGACGAGGGCATTAACACATCACCAACATTACTAATGGGTAATTGTTCACCATTGGCAACACTAATAGAAGTAGAGCCAACATAAGTAGATTTATTATGTAAAATACCTTCAGATGATGTCATGTGGGCAGAAGCCCCAGAATCCGGGTACCACAAAGCAAGATTAGTTTCCCCAGGTGTGGTCAACAAAGCAGGCGCAGAAGGTTGAGAAAAACGTGAAGGATAGGTAATAGCCGAGTGACCTGTAGAGAAACAAATCTGACACACAATAGGAGGGGGCGCGGAGCCCAGAATACCCCCATCTGAAGGAAAGCCTGCATATCCACTATTAGTAGCACAGACAGGTAAGACATGAATATTTAAATGTGACACAGTAGACTTACTAATGACAGTACCTGTAGTGATATTATGCGGATACTGAACACCCCCTGCGTGAGGACCCGGAGCAGCGAGCGGAGGAGCGCCACCGTACCCCTGCGGCTGAAAATAGCCCTGCTGCCCATTCTGCTGGTAACGGCCGCGGCCACAACCGCCACGCCCGCGGTTACCCCGGCCTCTGCCACCACGACCTCGGGCACCGGGAGCAGCAGGACGCGGGTGAGCTGGCTGCGGCTGCTGTGGACCTTGGACGGCAAAGGCTTGCTGTGTAGGTAAAGCTTCTTGTTGTTGAAAATAATGATCCCGTTTCTCAAGTTCAATGAGGTGATTCCGAAGAGTTTCAAAAGGGAAATTTTGGGGAAACAACATCACAGTATTGATCATAGACGCATAATCTTTCTCTAACCCCATGATAATAGATTTAATCATCTCAGAATGAGACACGAGACAATTAATACAGGCAAGATCATCTACCAAAATTTAAACCTCGCGCAAATAGTATTCAACAAGTGTTTCAATTCCATAGACCTGGCTAAACTGGCATACATAAATCTAGACTCCAATCGTTCCCAAATCCCAAACGAATGTTTCAAGTCCCGGACATCAATTAAAACGTCACGAGATAAGGTAGCAAAAATCCAAGAATGAATAGTTTGGTCAATGCGAAGCCAAGATGAATACTCGGGATTGGGAATGTGACGATTGTATAGGTCTATGGAATGCATAGAAGGTACCTGAAGTGTGCCATCCACCATGCCTAGAAGACCCTGAGAAACGAGGAAGGACTCGAATTGTGTGCGCCAGGTACTGTAATCCTCAACTGCTTGTAACCGTGTAGTCACAATGTTTGTAACATTGGTGGCCACATGTGATAAAGTCTGTGCCAAATCTGCCATGGGTGTTTGCATATCGGGAGGAGGAACTGCCCGGTTTGTTGGAATCGTGGAGGATACACCTGGAGACCTGACAAACGTAGGACCCGAGAACTTGACTGCCGGTGAAGAGGAGAGGGCCTGCGGCAGACTGACTGGCATGGAGGAAACCGACGGTGGCATGGAGAGGAAGGGCGGAGGTTCCAGATTAAATTCCGGCACAGTCTGTGGAGCGGACCAAGAGAATATTGGGGGTATATTCTGAAATAGAGATTATGAAGAAAATACCTTGGTCGGCGAAGCAAAAGAGGAAGCCGATTGAGCTGCGGTTGCTGGCATGATGACAGTGGGCTGCATTCCTGTCTGAGAAGAAGCGCCAGAGGAAGATACCATCACGGGAGAACTCTGGCCTGCGCTAACCGGAGCGGAAGACGAGGTGGTGGATGATGTGTTGGCTGCTGCAGAGGCCATGACAACCGCGGATCGTGAGAGAAGAAAATTGGCTGAAAAAAAAATTAGGTTTCCCTAGCTCTTGATACCATATGAGAGAATGGAACAAGTAACCCCTTTAGGAGCCCTGACAGGTTTATTTATAATAATGAATAATGTTTAAAATACATAAATGACCCTAGTCTATTATGAGAGAATGAAACAGGTTACCCCTTTAGGAGTCCTGACAGGTTTATTTATAATAGTGAATAATGTTTAAAATACATAAATGACCCTAGTCTAGTACATAATGCTAGTCTCATTCAAAAATTCTCACTTTACTACTTTTATGAACTCTCTACTAAAGGTTCTCATTCTTTTTAGCAAACAATTAAAACTTTTAATTAACAATTTAATTATCAAATACTACGTATAAAAAATAATATATCCAGAACATCACAGTTTTCACCAATAACCTATTATATTATATAGCATCAAAACTATTTCACAAAATATAATCGAATTATAATATATTTTTTGTTTAAATAATTATGTCATTTTGCAATGAGAATTGGGATTAGGATGAGTTTAGTTTGATTAGGGCTAGACTGCTAGAGCGAAGTCATTGACGAACTCGAAATATACGTCCTCTAACTAATGGTGAAGTGGAAACTTGAAAACACGAAGTATTGAACAAAAAAAATGAAACGACTGTTTAAGAACGGTGCAAAAAGAATACTTCGTACTATAAAGTGAAAGGAGGGATTATTTTCTTATCCTTTACCGACCTCCCTCTCTTTAATCAATCCAATATTCCAATCCCATGTCCAAGTACAGTAAATTGGACAACTCTATATGTAAATTTACTGTTCTAAAATGAAAATTAAATCTTCAGTCCGATTGAGGTAATTATCCTCTTGAAAGATCGAACTATCATCATGGGCTGAAAAGGGAGCTAGATCCATCAGCAAACTTGCCATCTCAATATCTCATGAATTAGTTAGGAAGGCATTAACACACACCGTCATCTGTTTCTGCTTGCATACATGTTAGTTTCCTTGTACCAACTACAATGATCTAAGGGAAAAACTTAAAACTATATGGAAAATTCAAATGTTATATATAAACCATGTTATTTTCAAATAAAAATAATTAAAAATAATTTTGAAAATCTGCTAGATTAACGGGAACGAGACTTTAAGTCTGGTGTCCGAAGACTATGAACCAAACTGAGACGATTAAGTCTTTACAAACCGAGCTTCTGATGAAACATATAGTTTCTATGAACCAGTAAGCTACTATGGTAAGTCAGGGTCTTAACGGCCATGTTTCACCCCCCACAATTCCTCGCGTTAACGCCGTGGTGCACCTTTAGGCCATGCACGTGCTTGGTATTCTCGAGTGCTCTAGAAGCGTTGTCATGCTTCAAGGAGGCGGCCCCACCTCACACTCATATAGGTGACCTCATCAAGTGTGTTCTACACTTAACGCACCAGCCATAAGACTATGAAAATCATTAAGAGTTTTAGCTCAGCCTCACAACTAATGCAGTCTAGCCTCACCCTAGAAATGGACATTTAAAATAGGCTAACAGAACAAATAGAAGACTTGTTATTACCCATATGAACCTGCTTCATGGGATCTTCAATCACACAGGTTGGGTTACCATCCCTAGCTATTTGTTTTCAAGTGACAGTCCATTTCCCTCGGTGTATGTATAATATCCTAGGATTTCCGTGCGCCAAAGGAGATTATTAACTCCTCTTGTCATAGTTACAGTATACTACGTATATGACAATTTGATATCCCTTATGGTATTATTGTATATGCATATACAACAATATCAGTTAAAATTATATCATCATTGTATCTCTTTAACACAATGGTTTAGCTCACCAGATGATACACTTTTGTGTTTCATAAGACAAAAATTCTTGCCTTATATTCAGCCCCGTATAGTTACATAAGTAACACACAGCTACCAACGAGTAATAGCATATATGCATACTATAATTAGATTCACAATTTCCGAAAATTACCATAGACAAACACACGAACTGAGAATACAACTCCATTTTGTACAATGGCCAAGAAATTATTCAAGCATGTACCATATATCTTACGTAAAATTCATCTTTGCATGTCCAAGTATCGGCCCCCACATTTTCAAATACCATGACTAAATTCCATAAGGTAAAAATAAAATTAACCACATCCAAGACATGATCTTTTGACGAAAAAACATGCGATATGATCAGCCATATAAATTACGTAGCATGTAAATAAAATCAAATTCCAGATAAGTAATTGATCTAAATAGGAGTAAAATAATAGAAAAGTTCCCAAATAGGAGTGCTTATTGATTTATTGCTCAAATAGGAGTCATTAACT